CGTTTGGGATTGTGTTCTTCGGCTTGCAAGCAATAACGATGGTCATTGTGGCCAAACAGTTCTATTTTTTGTTTCATCAGACCAGAGGACATTTCTCCAAAAAGAATGATCTTTGTCCCCATGTGCAGTTGCAAACCGTAGTCTGGCTTTTTTATGGCGGTTTTGGAGCAGCGGTTTTGGAGCAGTGGCTTCTTCCCTGCTGAGCGGCCTTTCAGGTTATCTTGATATATGACTCGTTTTACTGTGGATATAGATACTTTTGTACCTGTTTCCTCCAGCATCTTCACAAGGTCCTTTGCTGTTGTTCTGGGATTGATTTGCGCTTTTCGCACCAAAGTACATTCATCTCTAGGAGACAAAACGCGTCTCCTTCCTGAGCGGTATGACGGCTGCGTGGTCCCATGGTGTTTATACTTGCGTACTATTGTTTGTACAGATGAATGTGGTACCTTCAGGCATTTGGAAATTGCTCCCATGGATGAACCAGTCTGTGGAGGTCTACAATTTCTTTTCTGAGGTCTTGGCTGATTTCTTTTAATTTTCCCATGATGTCAAGCAAAGAGCCATTGAGTTTGAAGGTAGGCCTTGAAATACATCCACAAGTAAACCTCCAATTGACTCAAATGATGTCAATTAGCCTATCAGAAGCTGCTAAAGCAATGACAATTGTCTGGAATTTTCCGAGCTGTTTAAAGGCACAGTCAACTTAGTGTATGTAAACTTCTGACCCAATGGAATTGTGATACAGTGAATTTTAAGTGAAATAATCTGTCTGTAAACAATTGTTGGAAAAATGGCTTGTGTCATGCACAAAGTAGATGTCCTAACCGACTTGCCAAAAGTAAAAGACTTTTAAGCAGGTCAACATTCACAAGGCCGCAGGGCCAGACGGATTACCAGGATGTGTACTCCGAGCATGTGTTGACCAACTGGCAAGTGTCTTCACTGACATTTTCAACATGTCCCTGACTGAGTCTGTAATACCAACATGTTTCAAGCAGACCACCATAGTCCCCGTGAATCCCGGGCCAAGCTTCATGCCATCCAGGACCTCTATACCAGGCGGTGTCAGAGGAAGGCCCTCAAAATTGTCAAAGACTCCAGCCACCCTAGTCATAGACTGTTCTCTCTGCTACCGCACGGCAAGCGGTACCGGAGTGCCAAGTCTAGGTCCAAAAGACTTCTCAACAGCTTCTACCCCCAAGCCATAAGACTCCTGAACAGCTGATCATGGCTACCCGGACTATTTGCACTGCCCCCCCACCCCATCCTTTTACGCTGCTGCTACTCTGTTAAGTATTTATGCATAGTCACTTTAACTCTACCCACATGTACATATTACCTCAACTACCTCAACTAGCCGGTGCCCCCGCACATTGACTCTGCAACGGTACCCCCCTGTATATATAGCCTCCCTACTGTCACTTTATTTTACTGTATATATAGCCTCCCTACTGTCACTTTATTTTACTTCTGCTCTTTTTTTCTCAACACTTTTTTTGTTGTTGTTTTATTCTTACTTTTTTTGTTTAAAATAAATGCACTGTTGGTTAAGGGCTGTAAGTAAGCATTTCACTGCAATGTCTGCACCTGTTGTATTCGGCGCATGTGACCAATAAAATTTGATTTGATTTGATTTGATTACACAATCCATGTCTCAATTGTCTCAAGGCTTGAAAATCCTTATTTAACCTGTCAACTCCCGTTCATCTACACTGATTGAAGTAGATTTAATAAGGGATCATAGCTTTCACCTGGATTCACCTGATCTGTTTTTGGAATGTTCGATCAACTCACCACCAAGTTTTTATTTCAGCTGTTCAGAAATATGAGACATATGCTAAATCATCATGTCGATCAAAATTGGTTGACGGTTCAGAAGAGGGTGAGTAGCCTCTTCTGACTCCTCTAGCTCCACAATGAGATAGGGTGCAGGTCATGCAGTAGGCTGTTAGCCTGCCTGCCCCGCTTAGTGGAGTCTACCGCTAGCACAGTCACTGTAGTCAGCTCTGCTTTCCCCGTTGAAAACCGTGTCTGTCAGGGCCGGTCCTTGCCGTTCTGCCGCCATAGCCGAGACCAAAAAATGCCGGTCAAGGCCAGTCTGGAACTGCACCAAAAAAAGACGTCCAAAAGGCATCGGTCCGTGCTCACTGAGGTGTAGCCTACAGTGTTGCCTGAAATTGAATTTTATGAATGCCCATCTATGTGGTAAGCCTACCGTTTGTAAAACACCCAAAAAACGAAGCCCGGACAGTAAAAAAAAAAAGACTTCCAAAAGACATTGGCTCGTGCTTACTGGAGTGTAGCCTACCATGTCAGCCCGCAATGGAATTTTATGAATGCCCATCCACGTGGTAGGCCCATCGTTTGTAAAACAGGCCATTGCATTGGCTTTATTAGTCCTGATTCCTGTGACTAATCAATTTGGCTATTTAAGCTCTGAATATCAGCTACCCAACTTTATGAGGAGTTATGGCAAGCCTATTTGCAATGTGTTTACACAGCAGGAAAAGCAGAAGTATTTTATTTTTCGCTATGATCAGCTTGTCAAACATTGAAGGATACAAACTTGAAACCACTGATCATGACAATGGAGTAAAACTCCTGGACAGCAGTTGTGATTGTCCATTCCATGTTGTCCATTTTAATTTGACCTGTCCTCTTTTTAGGATATGTTGTTTGTTACGTGACAGCAAATGTTTTATTTAATTGAGCGCCATTTAGAGAAACCTGCATGGTGAAACCTGCATTATGTAAAAAGTGTCTGTGTCATAACATTGTCATACATTCTGTCTCCAGCCTGTAGGCTACAGAAAAGGCCACATACTCTTTCTACCATATCCTATAGCTGCTACATGATTTATGTTAGATAATTTTTTTGACAGAACATTGGTGGAGCGCTGCAGAGATGCATCCCAAAAATGCAACCCAAAAATGTGATTATATTACCATTAGCCTCTCTACACTTCCTGTCAAGGGCTGATTTCAAGGTTTTACTGCTAACCTACAAAGCATTACATGGACTTGCTCCTACCTATCGCTCCGATTTGGTCCTGCCGTACATACCTACACATACGCTACGGTCACAAGTTGCAGGCCTCCTTATTGTTCCTAGAATTTGTCTCTGCCTGACCAGCTCCCCTCTCTCCACTGGGATTCTCTGCCTCTGACCCGATTACGGGGGCTGAGTCACTGGCTTACTAGTGCTCTTCTATGCCGTCTCTAGAAGGGGTGTGTCACGTCGTTCCAGGCTTTTTTAGCTATACTCGACTTGAGTGGGTTGAGTCACTGACGTGATCTTCCTTTCTGGTCTTGCGCCCCCTCGGGCTCATGCGGTGGAGGAGATCTTTGTGGGCTGACCTCAGCCTTGTCTCAGGGTAGTAAATTGGTGGTCTGTTGATATCCCTCTAGTGGTGTGGGGGCTGTGCTTTGGCAAAGTGAGTGGGGTTATATCCTGCCTGGTTGGCCCTGTCTGGGGGTATCGTCGAACAGGGCCACAGTGCCCCCCCCCCCCCCCCCCCCCCCCCCCCGTCTGCTCCACCTGTCTCCCCCCTTCCCCCCCCCCCCCCCCATCTCAGCCTTCAGTATCTATGCTGCAATACTCTATGTGCCGCGGGGCTAGCGTCAGTCTGTCCTATCTGGTGAAATTCTCCTGTCTTATCTGGTGTCCTGTGTGAACTTAAATATGCTCTCTCTAATTCTCCTCTCTCTCTCTCTCCCCTCCAGGAGGACCTGAGCCCTAGGACCATGCCTCAGGACTACCTGGCCTGATGACTCCTGGCTGTCACCATCCCCAGTCCACCTGGTCGTGCTGCTGATCCAGTTTCTGCTGTTTTGCCTGTGGCTATGGAACACTGACCTGTTCACCGGACGTGCTACCTTGTCCCGGACTTGCTGTTTTCGACCCTCCCTCTCTCTCTCTTTCTCACTCTCTCGCTCTCGCTCTCTCTACCACACCTGCTGTCTCACCTGCTGTCTCAGCTATGAAAAGCCAACTGATATTTACTCCTGAGGTGCTGACCTGTTGCACACTCTACAACCACTGGGATTATGATTTGACACTGCTGGTCATCTATGACCATTTGAACATCTTGAAGAACGATCTGGCCTTAATGGCAATGTGCTCTTATAATCTCCACCCGGCACAGCTCAAGAGGAATGCCACCCCTCAGAGCCTGGTTCCTCTCTAGAAGTAGTCCCATGTAGCTCAGTTGGTAGAGCATGGCGTTTGCAACGCCAGGGTTGTGGGTTCGTTTCCCACGGGGGACCAGTATGAATTTTATTTCTAAATGTATGCATTCACTAACTGTAAGTCGCTCTGGATAAGAGCGTCTGCTAAATGACTAAAATGTAAAATGTAGAAAGGTTCCTGCCTTTCTAGGTTTTTCCTAGTCACCGTGCTTCTACATCTGCATTGCTTGCTGTTTGGGGTTTTAGGCTGGGTTTCTGTATAAGCACTTTGTGATATCTTCTGATGTAAAAAGGGCTTTATAAATACATTTGATTTGATTTGATTTGATAGAGTAAAGTGAGAAAGTATGTGTAAAATAACACATGGGCAGAACGTGATTCGGATCCTAAGTTTGTTTTCCACTAGTTACCACAGCCACAAATTTGGCTATATCACAAAAATTCATGAAAACTCCGTATTTGTAGCCCGGACTTTTAGAAAAGGCGTGTTCACCCCTCCCTCAGGAGGACGCTTCCCGTTTTCTAAAACGTTTTCTAAAACACATTTTCAAGACAACATAAACAAAAGCAGGACGCTGCGTAAAGTGTTTAGTGATTCAAAGAAACACATGGACAGAACATTGGGAGTTTTAGAAAACGGGAAAAGGCGTCCTGCTGGTTGGAAAAACAGAAGTTGTGCAGCCACTTAGTTTAGTAATGATCAAGTGCTGTATGGAAAGGGGAAGGGGATACCTACAGTAGTCAATTAGCCATTCAACCTAAATGTGTCTTCCTCATTTAACACAACCCATCTGAATTAGGCTACTCACCTCTCCGTGCCTGTTACAATGACTTGTCTGTTCCTGTTTTCGTTTCCTGCAGAAACAAAGTAACATGAATTAGGTATTTTATTGAAAAATAACTCCTACTCAACTATAGATACAAAATGAGACCACAGTGCATTAGGCAATGCAGATATGACTGAATAGAGCTCTTAGGTACACTACTTTCAGCTACTCACCTACACAGCCAGACCATACAGTAGATGTTAATGCAGAGAATCACTCCTCCAATAGCAGAAGGAATTGTGAAGAGCAATAATCTCTGTAGGCTATGTTCAGCATTATCTGTGTTAAGACAAACATACAGAAACAATTGGGTTTTCAGGAAAGTTGACAAGTCTAAAACAAGTGTTATATTCCTTTGCTTTAGAAGAATATAGTAAAAAAAAAAAAGGGAGATAATAACCAAATAATAACATTATAACACTCAGTATCGATTGTTTGCAATAATTATCACAATAATTGACATTTCTGTTCATGTCAAAATTCAACTTCATAAATGTACATATTTATATCTAGCATTACAGAATACAGTTTATTCTCCACGTTACAGTATAAACAGAAAATTGCTTCCATTACCTGTGAGGTTATTAGTGATGGTCAAATTCCAGTCCATTGTCCGTACACCACTTTGATCATCTGTTATTTGACAGCTGTAGTTCCCTGTGTCATTTAACTCTACATTAAAGATAGTTAGCTTTGTAGGTGGATCAACACTTATCCTGTCAGAGGTGAATTTTCTTTCAGTTTTATTCCGTATGCCACTATGAGAGAAAATGAGAACTGTGTCCTTTTTCCAGATGTATGATGCATTCGTCACGGAGTTGTTGCACACCAAAGTAACAATTTCTCCCAAAGAAGCTGATTTATTTTCCTGATATTTTGTTCTGTCATTTGCTGACTCTATGTGACAGAAAACAATAAAGAACATGTTGAAAGTACTGTACTTTAAAGGGACAGTGTGAGATTTTGGCAATCAAGCACATAAGAAGGTAGATAGGTAGGTAGCTAGGTAGCTAGGTAGGTAGCTAGGTAGCTAGGTAGGCAGGCAGGAAGGCACACACACAAACACACTGTACTATGGTAATCCACTGTAGCTTACCTGTACAGACAAGGAACAGCATGATGACCACAGACACTAGGTCCCAGGACAGGAGAGTTGCCATGACGACCTTGGACGTGAATGACTGACAGAAAGAGAAATGGAGTCAGAGATCAGTGTCACAGCTAACCAGGAACCACTCAGAGGGGCGCAGGACATGAACATGTGGTTAGTCTGAGGAGGATGGAGAACAGAGGAAGTGGTCATGTGAAAGAGAAACACAGAAGTAGTGAGTTTGTCTAAAACATCTAAGGCATTGAACTCAGAGACATCACACATACCCACTCAGCATTTTATTACTGAGTGATTTACTGTGTGCTCAGAGTTGGATTTCAAGGTGAATTTCACATTCAAAACGTCCAAAATAATTTGATCTCCCGTCCCCCATCAGTGATCCACGTCCCCCAAAACTGTCAGCTTCTACCCCCAGACCATTAGGCTGCTGAATAGCCACTAGGCAGCGTCTGCTCCACCTGTCTCCCCCCTTCCCCCCAGACTTCCTACCCCTCCACCTTGCTGCTCCCCCTATGGATATCCACCCCCCCCACCCCCCAACAAACATTTACCATACCACCATCCCCCAATGGACATTTATAATTGTTACAGCTGTAAATATGTATATTTAAACCAAATATTGTTTCATTCACTTCTCACTTCCCCCCTGCTGCTCCCCCTATGGACATTGGTCTGCACAGATTGTGCTTTTCCTTCTAGACTTACCCCCACACCTGTAAGTCACCAGTGTTTTAAGTTCATGTTAGCTCTAGTGTTATTGTGTTTCCATCAGTAGTGTGACACTAAAGACTTGTGGTGAGCAGAATCAACAGCCTGATTTGTATTTTGTATTTATTATGGATCCCCATCCCCTTGCCTTGGCTCCAAGTCAGAGCAGGTCTGCCGAAGCCATGGGCCAGTGAGACACGGGTGCTGGCCCGCGTAGATGGAAACAGAAAAGTCTGAGCCTTTTGGGTAAAACACTGGGGTAAATCCACAGTGGAAATGCACCAGGAGAGTGCAGGAGTCTGGCCTAGTGGTAGTGCTGCCCACTCCATACCACACATCCCCCTGGTAACGGGGATTTCAGCCCTGTCTTGGCCACTCTGTCTGAGCCATAGAAATATATTATATTCAATATTTTATGATCTGAGCCCCTTCTATCTAACCCTCTCTGTATTTCCCACTGTCATTTCATAAAATAAACCACATCAAGTGCTGCAACTCTACACTCTAAAAAGAAAAGGTTCTTGGAGTATCCTTTAGAGGTTCTTCAAATTGAAACTGTGGGGGAACCCCTATACGTTCTTCGAGGAACACTTTAAATGTGTTCTTCAAAGAACCCCTTTTAAGAACCCCTTTTAATGGTTAATCAAATAACCTTTTGAATAACCTTTTGGGGTACATTTTTGAACTACCCCCCCCCCCCCCCCCCCTCCCCTATTAGTATTATTATTTTTATATGCATAACAATAACAACAATAACACAATATTTTAGTTGTCAGTGTTTATTATTATAATTTTAGTGGCAAAGCAGAATTAATAAAACAAAATATGAGGTAAACTCCCAGCAGAGCCCCAAGTATAATGGGTATATCCTCTGGCGTGTTGATGTTAGTGTTGATGTTCTCCGTATCCATTGCCAGAATGATTTTGCAGTGTGTGGTATCTGAGGAATTTATGACTTTGCTAATGGTTTCAAATGGTTTTAGAGGATGTTGACTAAGCTTAAAGGGAGCATCTGGAGAGTAGTTCTATAGGGGCACCCTAAAGCCGAGGAAGTCTGTTAGGTGGCCTCCTGGGATTGGTCTGTAGGGAAAACACCCATATTATGTTACATAGGGCATAGGATATAAATACTTGGTTAAAACAAAGGAGGACAGAATAATCATATTTGAGATTGGGCGGTTATTCTCCAGATATTCTGTAGATATCTGTAAATTGATGCTGGAACCCTTTGATATAAATAAACTAGGGCTGTCAAAAATAGCGCGTTAACGACGTTAATTAGTTGTTTGCTGTTAATTACGTCAATTTTTTTAACGCATTTCACGCATGCGCAGTGTGACAAATTATTCAGGTCAGGAAAGTGGTTGGGAGCTAGAGGCGAGATGGAGCAAGGTGAGCAAAGTGGGCCTATTGACGGATTCAAATATAAAAAGAATGATGATGGTACAGTTAACAAGTACAAGGTTATTTGCAAGATTTGTAAGAAGGAGTTTCAATTTCACCGGAGCTGTTCAAGCTTGAAGTACCATGTCAACGCCAAACATGCGTTTGCTGGGCCGTCAGATTCAGCAAGTGGTTTGCGCCAGACCACGCTGAATGTTTGCAGGCAATTAACAAAATCAACCTCAGATAATTTGACCAACACAATAGCAAAATGGATTGCAAAGGATTGTAGACCCATTAGCATTGTAGAAGACTCAGGTTTCCTTGATGTTTTGCAAGTGGCGTCTCAAGACTCATTCTATAAGCCACCGTCAAGAGCCACAGTTATGAAGAAAATCCACAAGCTCTATGAAAACGAAAAAGAAAAAAGGAAAGAGGTCTTGGCTCAAGTAAATCATATCGCCCTGACAGGAGACCATTGGACATCAGTGAGTAACAAACATATCTAGCCACTCCTGCAACCACTGTTCCCTGTGAACGACTTTTCTCAGTTGCAGGTCACATTGTGAACAAGAAAAGGTCAGCTTTACTTTCAGAAAATGTGAACAAGTTAGTTTGCCTCAGCAACTGGCTGAAAGATGATGAAGCTCAGTAGATTTGAAAGGTGATGTTCAAACAAAAAGACCAGTTTCAGTGCAACATGTTATAGTAGTTAGCAACTGGATTTTTGAGCAACTGGATTAAAGAATGGAGGAAAAGGTAAAAGATTGTTCTTTGGTTTGATTTAAAAGTTTTATTGAAAATGTTTTTTTCCACAGATGACTCAAATTGTGCAAAAATGTGGTAGGTCACTGTTATGATTTGACTACATTTATTGCTTTCTGTTCAATTGAATACTGTAAATTGTACATCCTGGTTAAGAGGAATGCCAAAGAGGAAGTGATGGAACATTACAAAGACAAATATTATGGTGTGTAGTATGTTTCAGCTTGATTTAAAACACCATTATTTGGCTGTGTTAATAAACAGACATAATATGAAAATTATGTATCTGTGTCCTGTTATTTATCTTTTGGTATGCATTTCAGAAAAAAAATGGTTAGGATTCAGGTGTAATTGCAAATAGTGATTAATCATGATTAATCCACTGAAAATTCTGATTAATTTGATTAAAAATTTTAATCATTTGACAGCCCTAAAATAAACCTTTATAATCAAAGTACAGCGTCAGCGGATTTCCTTGTTTTCACAGCATTATTAGCTACGTTTTCTCGACACCACAAGTGCATGGTGATCGAACAGGTTTCCTGTTTTATTCATCAGAGCTGTAGGGACGGTGAAGTCTGTGAATCCCAAAAATAGTAATTATACAGATGATTAACAAAACATGCACACGACAGTATTCATACCTTGGTTTGTGTGATAAATGTGAATGAAACAAACTGTTTTGATAATGGTTTTCATACACATATCTTGTCCATAATGTAGAGGCCTATGGGATATTCATTGAAGAGGTAAGGGAGGAGGATGGTAAATGTGATCTGCAAAACATACCAATATCAATACCAATATGCCTCCTTCTCTGTAAACCTGCAGACACAGACACAAAGGTGAGCAGTTCAGCCATCTGCACCCAATACAGCTAGCCTTCAACATATTCTAATAGCCTACATATTCTTACCTCTTCGTTGATTGATATCCATTGAATTGTATCCAACAAATATGAGATGGTATCATCATAAAACAATATCAATTTAGATCATATAAGGGACAAACCTTAACTTAAATTGAGGAGATCTTTACATTTTTCAGTTAAATGTCTGCACCTGTTGTCCTTTCAAATTAAAATCAAAATGTTTCAGTTGGGCAGTTAGGCTCCTGCAAGAGCCCCCACCAATTAAGGAGATTCCTCGATGAACCCCACCTCCAATGGGGTTCTTGGAAGAATCTTTTGGAGGCAATTTTCAGTGCCAAGAACCCTAAGGTTCTTCAAAGAACTTTGAGAATCTTAGAAGAACCCTTGTTGAACCCCTGACATCCAGAACATTCTACATTCTGAAACTACCTCAGTGTGGAATGTAGTACATGACATTAAGATCAGTCACATTGACTCAATCAAATAAAATCACTTGGTGTTTTTCAATGCTTTTGACCACTTAGTTTAGTTAATTTGTCTTTACATTAGGGATTAAATTATCAACCCAAGAGTCTGCCTACAGTGAGGGAAAAAAGTATTTGATCCCCTGCTGATTTTGTACATTTGCCCACTGACAAAGACATGATCAGTCTATAATTATAATGAAAGGTTTATTTGAACAGTGAGAGACAGAATAACAACAACAAAATCCAGAAAAATGCATGTCAAAAATGTTATAAATTGATTTGCATTTCAATGAGGGAAATAAGTATTTGACCCCTCTGCAAAACATGACTTAGTACTTGGTGGCAAAACCCTTGTTGGCAATCACAGAGGTCTGACGTTTCTTGTAGTTGGCCACCAGGTTTGCATACATCTCAGGAGGGATTTTGTCCCACTCCTCTTTGCAGATCTTCTCCAAGTCATTAAGGTTTCGAGGCTGACGTTTGGCAACTCGAACCTTCAGCTCCCTCCACAGATTTTCTATGGGATTAAGGTCTGGAGACTGGCTAGGCCACTCCAGGACCTTAATGTTCTTCTTCTTGAGCCACTCCTTTGTTGTCTTGGCCGTGTGTTTTGGGTCATTGTCATGCTGGAATACCCATCCACGAACCATTTTCAATGCCCTGGCTGAGGGAAGGAGGTTCTCACCCAAGATTTGACGGTACATGGCCCCGTCCATCGTCCCTTTGATGCGGTGAAGTTGTCCTGTCCCCTTAGCAGAAAAACACCCCCAAAGCATAATGTCTCCACCTCCATGTTTGACGTGGGGATGGTGTTCTTGGGGTCATAGGCAGCATTCCTCCTCCTCCAAACACGGCTCCTCCAACAGTTGAGTTGAT